TGCTCCAGCTGCTCCTCCTCAGCCGGTGGGAGATTCAAAAACGGTTTCGTCTAACTTCTAGCAAAAAATGGGAATTATTAGAGAGAAATTCACCCCCCAATTTCATCAAATCGGTCCCAGCCGTAGCAAGGCCTGTTTCCTAAAGCGTGGATCAGGCCTCTCCGGGGAAAAGAACCTTCCCTTCCTGGGGCTGATTGGTCTGTTGGTTCATCGGTTCCGTGCTCGCTTTCCGCGCACAAGGCCCGGGTTCGGCACCCGGCCGTGACAAGTCCTTTTGCTTTTTCATCGAAAGCTGGGAGTAGAATGTTTCTTTAACGCGTCACGGTTTCTTACTACTCCTAACCGGGCTCTGGACTGTTAGCGGGGGACCAACTTCTTTCCCAGTAGTTCCACCCGATAACGAAGTACAAACCATTTTTATTGCATTTTACCAGTTTTTAGCATCAAAAATGTATAACACTAATTAAATTTGCAAAAATTTTTGGGTTTTTGGTAACAAATGTATGAAAAATGACCGCAAAAAGTAAACATTCTCGAATCTTCACAAATTTTTGAACAATTTTTGATACCATTCTAGCAAACGAAAACGGCTAAAAACAAATCACCCGCAGTCAAAATCCCGACAGCCAATTTGTGATATTACCGATCGTTTTACCCATAAATTCATTTAAAAGCTGGGCCGACGGGCTGTCGGTATTTTTGCTGTCGGGATTTTGAATGTAGGGATTTTGGCGTTTTCCCCTCAACCAGGCATGGGCCGATGGACTAAACTTTGACGGTCCTTTAAATTGCTGAAAAATGACCGAAAGTGAGAAATAATCGCTATCAGCTGCGTACGCTATTTTTTTTATTGGCTGTTTTGCAGAAAAGGCGCAAGAAGTGAACGTCCCGCTCAAACCCGCCGCCGATGCTCATCTTTAACATTCAGACCATCCAGACTATCCGCCAATTTACAATCGCATTTCATCTCCCCACGCCGTCTTTGTACCTATACTCGTGCCTGTCCCCACGTTACTCTACTCGCCATCCCAAGTCCCGCAAGCTGGTGTCCTTTTTCGTGTGATACGATGGCTAATAAATAATGTACAGGGTGAGGCATATATATGGCAACACTTTCCCGGGTCTCTCAAAAAAATGAAGAAAGCTGGCTGGGCTTCAATAATTTGCCGAAATATAGCACGTCCCTTTAAAGCCCTATGAAAATCGAATACCGAAACGATATTGAATTTCGACTCCGCTCCGGTGCACGTCCCTTTACACCCCTATGAAGATCGAATATCGAAACGATATTGAATTTCGACTCGCTCCGGTGCACGTCCCTTTAAAGCCCTATGAAAATCGAATATCGAAACGATATTGAATTTCGACTCCGCTCCGGTGCACGTCCCTTTAAAGCCCTATGAAAATCGAATATCGAAACGATATTGAATTTCGACTCGGCTCCGGTGCACGTCCCTTTAAAGCCCTATGAAAATCGAATATCGAAACGATATTGAATTTCGACTCCGCTCAGTGCACGTCCCTTTAAAGCCCTATGAAAATCGAATATCGAAACGATATTGAATTTCGACTCCGCTCCGGTGCACGTCCCTTTAAAGCCCTATGAAAATCGAATATCGAAACGATATTGAATTTCGACTCCGCTCCGGTGCACGTCCCTTTAAAGCCCTATGAAAATCGAATATCGAAACGATATTGAATTTCGACTCCGCTCCGGTGCACGTCCCTTTAAAGCCCTATGAAAATCGAATATCGAAACGATATTGAATTTCGACTCCGCTCAGTGCACGTCCCTTTAAAGCCCTATGAAAATCGAATATCGAAACGATATTGAATTTCGACTCCGCTCCGGTGCACGTCCCTTTAAAGCCCTATGAAAATCGAATATCGAAACGATATTGAATTTCGACTCCGCTCCGGTGCACGTCCCTTTAAAGCCCTATGAAAATCGAATATCGAAACGATATTGAATTTCGACTCCCGCTCCGGTGCACGTCCCTTAAAGCCCTATGAAAATCGAATATCGAAACGATATTGAATTTCGACTCCGCTCCGGTGCACGTCCCTTTAAAGCCCTATGAAAATCGAATATCGAAACGATATTGAATTTCGACTCCGCTCGGTGCACGTCCCTTTAAAGCCCTATGAAAATCGAATATCGAAACGATATTGAATTTCGACTCCGCTCCGGTGCACGTCCCTTTAAAGCCCTATGAAAATCGAATATCGAAACGATATTGAATTTCGACTCCGCTCCGGTGCACGTCCCTGTAAAGCCCTATGAAAATCGAATATCGAAACGATATTGAATTTCGACTCCGCTCCGGTGCACGTCCCTTTAAAGCCCTATGAAAATCGAATATCGAAACGATATTGAATTTCGACTCCGCTCCGGTGCACGTCCCTTTAAAGCCCTATGAAAATCGAATATCGAAACGATGATTGAATTTCGACTCCGCTCCGGTGCACGTCCCTTTAAAGCCCTATGAAAATCGAATATCGAAACGATATTGAATTTCGACTCCGCTCGGTGCACGTCCCTTTAAAGCCCTATGAAAATCGAATATCGAAACGATATTGAATTTCGACTCCGCTCCGGTGCACGTCCCTTTAAAGCCCTATGAAAATCGAATATCGAAACGATATTGAATTTCGACTCCCGCTCCGGTGCACGTCCCTTTAAAGCCCTATGAAAATCGAATATCGAAACGATATTGAATTTCGACTCCGCTCCGGTGCACGTCCCTTTAAAGCCCTATGAAAATCGAATATCGAAACGATATTGAATTTCGACTCCGCTCCGGTGCACGTCCCTTTAAAGCCCTATGAAAATCGAATATCGAAACGATATTGAATTTCGACTCCGCTCCGGTGCACGTCCCTTTAAAGCCCTATGAAAATCGAATATCGAAACGATATTGAATTTCGACTCCGCTCCGGTGCACGTCCTTTAAAGCCCTATGAAAATCGAATATCGAAACGATATTGAATTTCGACTCCGCTCCGGTGCACGTCCCTTTACACCCCTATGAAAATCGAATATCGAAACGATATTGAATTTCGACTCCGCTCCGGTGCACGTCCCTTTACACCCCTATGAAAATCGAATATCGAAACGATATTGAATTTCGACTCCGCTCCGGTGCACGTCCCTTTAAAGCCCTATGAAAATCGAATATCGAAACGATATTGAATTTCGACTCCGCTCCGGTGCACGTCCCTTTACACCCCTATGAAAATCGAATATCGAAACGATATTGAATTTCGACTCCGCTCCGGTGCACGTCCTTTACACCCCTATGAAAATCGAATATCGAAACGATATTGAATTTCGACTCCGCTCCGGTGCACGTCCCTTTACACCCTATGAAAATCGAATATCGAAACGATATTGAATTTCGACTCCGCTCCGGTGCACGTCCCTTTACACCTATGAAAATCGAATATCGAAACGATATTGAATTTCGACTCCGCTCCGGTGCACGTCCCTTTAAAGCCCTATGAAAATCGAATATCGAAACGATATTGAATTTCGACTCCGCTCCGGTGCACGTCCCTTTACACCCCTATGAAAATCGAATATCGAAACGATATTGAATTTCGACTCCGCTCCGACGAATAAGAATAAATCTTAGAAAATGAAGCCCGCTTGTTTTCTCGCCTTTTCGCGGGCGTTCGAATGGGATAAAAATCATCCTGATCTGAGCTTCCCACGGACCGCTAGAGGGGGGTGCTTTTTTGGGACACCCAGTATTAGAGAAATGATCCCCACCCCAAAATTAGTATTGTCACACATTTTTAGCAAATTTCGTTGGGTATTTTTCGAGATAGTTTTTTGAGATCGGCAACTTTAACGCCCATTTAAACCCCAACATTAAACTTTTTAAACTTTCAAAACTATGCAGCCCTACTGATCTGACCATGCTCTATCCGAAATACCGAAACCGAAATAGGCTTGGCACAGTTTTTTTCGATCCTGTTTTTTTGACGGCATCGGATAGAGCATAGTCGAGTTAGTAGGGCTGCATGGTTTTGAGAGTTTAAAAAGCCCTCTCTTAGAAGCCAAAAGCCGAAATTAACAACTTTGTATTTTTACGGCACATTTTTTCCGCGTTTTTCGCCTACATTTCGCGATTCTTTCAATGTTAGTATTCCTCGCGCAAACTAAACAATACCCCAATCGATGCAGAAAAATCTCGCGCATCTTTCTATGCTGGTTTCAGGTTGCGCTCGGAATACTAAAAATGCGAAAATCTCAAAAACTATTCAAAATCTCAAAAACTGCTTTTACTATTCGATTTAACCATGTTCCGATCATTTTCGCGCTTTGCGATGCATTAGAGAAATGATCCCCATCCCAAATTAGATATTGTCACAAGGTTTCAGCGAAAGCGGTGCAGTACCTTTCGAGATAGCTTTTCGGGGTCGGCTACTTTCAGGCCCGTTTAAAGCCGAAAAATCAACTTTTTAAACTCTCAAAACTATGCAGTACTACATAGTAACTCTACTATGCTCTATCCGATGCCTTCAAAAAAACAGGGTCGAAAAAACTGTGCCAAGTCATAATGGGTTCGGGCAAGTCGCCGACGGCCTTTTGAAACCTCCAGTTGAGGATTTCGCATGGAATGGAATTATTGTATTTTTATTGCTACTGGAAATAAATATTTTTTCGTGCAAAAAGTGAGAAAACGCGAAAAAAGAATTTTGTATTGAATTTTGGATACTGTAGCGGGTTACGGTACTCATACTCTCTCATCATGCTCTCTCTCTTCCTCTCTCTCTATCTCTCCCTCTCTCTCTCTCTCTCTCTCTCTCTCTCTCTCTCTCTCTCTCGCTCTCTTTCACCGCCATCCCTTACTCCCCACTTTTGCACCGACATGCAACATATTTGCATAAATAATCAAATGGCAGAATTTACATATTTTATGCACCGAATACAGTTCCGGTTTTCGAGTACAAAAAGCGGCGATTTCTCGAAAAAAACAATCACTTCGTCTTCGATGGAGCTTCAGAAGCCTTCGCCCAGCAAGTACTGCGTCCGCGTGCCGGTACGTTTTGCAATTTGCATATTTCTCTCTCTCTCTCGATCTCTTCAAATTTGTATTTTTCAGCGCAACGCCGCCCGTCACCCGGCCGTCTACAGCGGGTTCGCCTCGCCGCGCCGCGCCACCCTTGCCGAGCAAGCCGGCCACGCTCGCCTTGATGAGCTGTATCCGGAAGGTATAATTTTTAGAGATTTCCTAAATGCGCTCTGCTAGCCTACCCTTGCAACAAAATTCAGGGCAAGCTAGCAGAGATCCTTCTGGATATGTAAAAATTCGTTTTTTAGGCCTCCTCCTGCCCCGTGAGCCGGTCCACTCCCTGACCAGCATGAAGCTGGACCTGAATGACTCGGCGTTGACGGTCGCCTCCGACGAGAACCTCACCCGCGCCGACAACACCAACAAGTTTAACGACCGCCGCAAGCTGCTTTGGGTTGGTCGCCTGCTTCTCTCTCTCTCTCTCTCTCTCTCTCTCTCTCTCTCTCTCTCTCTGTCTCTCCCGTCCCCCGGCCGTCTACAGCGGCTTCGCCTCGCCGCGCCGCGCCACACTTGCCGAGCAAGCCGGCCACGCTCGCCTTGATGAGCTGTACCCGGAAGGTAAAATTTTTAGAGACTTTCGAAATGTTCTCTGCTAGCTTGCTTTGACCAGAAACGAAAGCAATCTCGCAGAGAACATTTCGGATTTCGTTTCCGCTTTTTCCTGGCGTGATAGCTTTTAAGACTCGAAAAACGTGCTTTCCAGGCTCCTCCCCCGCGAGCCGGTCCACTCGCTCACCAGCAAGAAGCTAGACCTGAATGACTCGGCTTCGACGGTCGCCTCCAACGAGAACCTCACCCGCGCCGGGAACACCAACAAGTTCAACAATCGCCGCAAGCTGCTTTGGGTTGGTAGCCTGTTTCTATCTCTCTCTCTATGTCTGCCCCTCTCTCTCTCTCTCTCGCTCTCTGGCTCATGTTCATTTCCAGGCCGACGCCCTGGCGCACATGACCATGGGGCCGTTGATGGAGGAGACGCGCGCCTCGGAGCCGTCCAAGGAAGAGATGTGGTGGAACATCAGCCGCCGCGTCGTCACCACCGAGACGGCCAACGAGTTCGACAAGTTCGCCGCCAACGAGGAGGAACCTGTCGTCCCGATCGTCCACATCACTGGCGACGTCATGGACAAGGTACATTCAGCCATGGGCTATTTGAAGTAAAAGCACCTTCAGCCGCAGGAGCCCTCGGCGGCCGCATCGGCAGGGCTAACGGATCGTACCGCTTCCTCGCGTTCCTTGGCCTCGTCGGCTTGCCCGACAGCCCGCCAGCTGTCGGCCGTGTCGATCGGTGACTGCCGGACCGCCAGGCAGATACCGGATGAACTGCTCGAACAGCTCGACTTTGTCAGCAACGGCGTCATCAAGGAGGTCAGGCCATTTTCCTTGTACTTGTTGAACTTGATGTTTTTCAGCTGGCGCCGACGAGCAGAAGTCGCTGACGACCCTGTTCCAGGGGATCAAGCTGAACACGTCGGGCACGACGCCCGCCCCGCCGCCCACTCCGACGCGGGTTCGTGTCCCCGATTGGGAACGGCTGAAGGACTCGCCGCTGCTCAGCCGCGTCCGCGCCCGCTCCTCCTTCAACTTCCCGCCGCCCCAGCTCGAGCCGTCGCGCGACTCCATAGAGTGGTACGGACTTTTTGGGTTCTTGTGTATTACCGGGGGGGGGACAATATCTTTTGGACAATTTTTTCCAGGGACGCCGCCCCGCTGCCCAGTGACGTGCCGGCAGGGACGTAGCGTAATACCGGCCCTGGGGCCCGGCTCCCGAAATCGGCCGGGGCCCGAAAATTTAATAGGGGACCCTTATGATTTTTATTTTCTCAAAAATTTTGCTGCCTGCGACGCTATTTTTGCACGTTTTTACGGCTATTTCTAGAGCTATGTAACTTTTTTTTCAAATTGTTTTTTCGGCAATGTTTTGAGTTTTTCGGAAAAATTTTTTTGGGGCCCGCCCCGAAATTTTTTTCTGGCTACGCCCCTGCGTGCCGGTGTGGGTCGACGTGGTCAGCCCTGCCGTCAGCCCGGCCGTCGCTGAGCTGGCCGCCGACGTCGACATCGAGAAGGTCAACACTCCGAATGTGACGCTGCGCCATCGTCGCCACTCCGACTGCTAGCCGGTCGACGACCATAAGACGTCCAAACGATTAAGCACCCCCACCACCACATCGGCTCGTTAAAAACCCGAACAAATCCCGCGGCTCGTTTTGTTTTGTGAAAAACAAACCTATTTGGTGTGTAATAAATGGTTTTGTACATTTGCGTGGTTTTGTTTGCTTGCATACATTTGGGAGAAGAGAAAAACGACAGACTACAGACTACAAACAGAACGTTCCAACGCACAGGGTGACCCAAAGGGTTCCCTTTCTACCGGACCGTAGGAGTGTCCGATTTTTACGATTTAGGTGTCTATCGAAAGCTCTCGGAATGGCAATTCTAGATACGTTGCTCGATTTTCGAAATTCCGTAATTTTTCTTCCATTTACTAGGAATTTTGTGCAACGGACCGGCTTTCGAATGCTTTTCCGATGTCCAATATGCCGCTTCTCCAAAAACCACAATTTTTGAATTTTTACGCCTTTTTTAGCAGTCAGACCGCAGCTTTTTGATAGCTTTTTGAGAAAGCACAGCATAGTCAAATTGATTGCGTGAAAAATGGCGACAATCCACCAACAAAATTACGTACTTTCGTCATGCATCACTCGCTTTCCCGAAAGCTTTCCATAGATCGCAAAAAATCGTATAAATTCGACACATCTGCGGACCGCTAATTTTCATGGACCGAAAAGCATAAAGGACCGAGTGTTACTTTGCTGCAAAAAACTTTTGAAACCCGGTTTTCCCCGACGCCGTTGTTACCAAATAGACCAAAACTGATGGTCTCGGCTTGAAAGTGCGGCGCGGCGAGGAGAAGTTTTTCGCCTTCGATATTGCCGGATTTGGCGCTCTTTATGGGCCCCATGATGCTCTCTTCCAATGCTCCTTTCTAGACATGGTGCTCCTTCCGCGCGTAAACAGGGCGAAACAATATTGGGGTACTGAAGAGGAGGCTACTTTTGCGCGAAAATGGACTTGCGGTTGCACTTTTGCCGGGGTTGGATGCACTTTTGTGAGGGGTGATTGCACTCTAACCCCCGGCAAAGCCAGAGGCACTTTTTCAGTCGTTTTTCCGAGGGGTGTTTTTGGAAGACTGAAATCGGCCGCGATGCTCTTTCGAAATAGCTGCATAAACCGGTGTAAAAGTCGATTTAAAGTGGTTAGGAAAGAAAATCTGTATTAACCTACCGATTACGCAAGGAAATTCTAGCCGGCCGTTTTCAAAACATTTCGCGATACGTGTTTTTTGGCCTAAGTCCCTAAGCCTAAGCCTACGGCTAAGCCGAGCCGCCACTCTCCCGCAGCTCCATTCGACCACGGCGAACATTTTGAGATACTCGCGCATTAATAGGACGTATGGCTGAAAAGTTACGGCTGGGGGAGGGTAAACTAGACTCTTACCAAATTCCAAATTTTTATTTTTTGATTTTTAAAAGCTTATAGTATGCAAAAAGTGTCGCCGGTTCCGATGGTGTATTCAGTTTGACGATCAGATGCTTTGTTCTGTTTTAAATCGGGAAAAGGACCCCAAAAGAGTCGTGTCGGCTAACCCCGATATCGTACAGAAAGAATTGCGTTACCGAAAATACTAGTCCATCTAAAACAGTAGAAAAGTACTGGTCTCCAAACCGAAAAGGCCTTCAAAATCAACTTGTCAAAGATATTTTTTTCAGCAAACAATGCTCTGAAGGACGCCTTCAACTTGGGAAAGCAGGCCAAGCTCCGCCTCATCAAGGTGATCATCAAAAATGCTGCATTTTTCCTTTAGAAAATCGGTCAATGCTAAACAAAATGTTGTAAAAATCAACTAAATAATACTTACCTGCCAAAAAAGCCAAACGATCAAAGAAACTTTTAAAATGATAATATTTGGTTAATTAATGGTTTTTGTAAAAACAGGCTTAAATAAGATATCTTTTTGTAGAAGAACTGTCGGGCCGGCCCAAAAAATTCCAGGGCCGGCCCGCCCTTCGAAAATCTCCAAAATGCCAAATGAAAATTATGCCAAATGAAATTATGCCAAATGAAATTATGCCAAATGAAAATTATGCCAAATGACATCATGCCAAATAAACTTTCACCGTGACCGCCGCCTTAGACCACTCGGCCACGCCCCTCCCTACCCCCCGTGCGCGCTCTGAGACCCCGTGGTCGAGGCTTCCAAGCAGTTCGCCAAGCCCGCGTCGCCCGGTGGAGCCTCCAGAAGAATCACCAAAGTCTAAACACCGAGGCTCAAGCATTTTTGCGATTTTTTTGATTGGTGATCTGCTATTTATTTTCCCGTTTGCAATTCCGCCTCCCACACGAGCTACTCAAACCCCGCAACCATTCTCCCCCGACGTGTGTGTGCCTTCCCTAGCCGCAATTACCAAAATTTCAAAAATCTTGTTTTATAATATCAAAAACCCTTCTCGAAATCAAGTATGAAGCGCCTTGCATAGTAACCTAGTGATGCGAATAGCCAGTCACTACTGTATTTTTGGTCATAGTCTCGATTTTTTTTCAGCTACTTTCACTGTCGTTGCTTTACTGTTTTTGGTAGAATTACACCCCTCATGTGCAAATCGCTGGGCAACCCCACTTCTGAGCCACTCCACCTCACGCCCCTGATCTATACTTTCTAGCCTGTCAAATTGAACTTCTTTTTAAAGCTGCCGAAATAAAGTAACTTTTGATGGAAAACCAAGAATAGAATCTCAAGTACACGAAAGTCAAGCCACCGGAAACTTCAGATGCAAGCCAAATTAGCAGAACTAACTTTGAATCTGGTATTAGCAATTTCTTGAGCATAAAGAAGTTTGCATACGCGAATAGAATGACCGGAAGTGAACTTGCCGCTCCCCGAGTATAAAAAAAACAAACCTTTCCCAAGCAAATCATTCGACACTCGAGCCGACGATGTCTGCCCGCTACATCCCGTCGAGCTACTGCCCCGGCATGTACGCGCAGCAGGCCGCCCAGCTGAACGCCGTCGAGGAGGTGAGTATTCAGGGCCATTCAATGATGGCGTTTTGCCAAAACAAAATTCATATTGCTCAGCCTCCTGCTCCAAGCCCTGCGCCAAAGACGGCCATCCCGGTGGCCCCGTCGAAGCTTCAGCAACAGCAGCCGGCACCCCAGCCGCCGAAACCGGCCGTCGAGCCGACCCCCGTCTACTCGTCGTACGCTCGTGGCGCCGTGCTCCCCGCCGCCTACTACCTCGACTACAACCAGCCGATGATGGCCCCTCCGCCTACGCCCGCCACCCAGCACATTCCCACCCCGTACCCACAGTCCGTTGTGGGTTTTGTTGCTGAGCAGCTTCATTCAATAATCGCTTTCTAAAGGTAGCTTTTAGCCGGAACACCAGCATGACGACGCGAACTGCCCCTACAAGCAGTACAGCCCCGCCGTCACCCCGGTTGCTGCCAGGCCGGTGGAGCAGCAGCAGAATGTGCCCATCAAGCGCGAGCCGGCCCCGTTCGCCTACGAGCCCTCGGCGTACGCCCTCCAGCAGCTTGAGGAGAACTATGCCCGCGCCCCGACTGCCGCCCCCGTCGGCCCGAAGAAGTCGCGTAAGCAAGAGTTTTTCTCCCTAAAATTGCGGAATTAGTTTATGCTCCACCCGGCGAGCGTCAGCAGCCTCACATCGCTGGGCCCGTGGCCACCCCTTCGGCGTTTCGACAACCTCTGTTTTTAGGGCCAAGCCAACCAGAAGGTCCAGTTTGCCGCCCCGCCACCGCAGCAGCACGTTGCCCCGGCTCGCCCTGCCTTCCGCCCGGCCCTCGGCATGTCGACGTACGTCGGTGGTGTCCCGAATGACATGATCGCTGCCTACCACACCGGCATGGTGCCCGCCTACTACCAGCAAGCGGTAGTTATCTAAAATAGGTTGACATTCTTTCTTTTCAAGGCCCGCGACGCCATCTCGAACTACCACTTTGGCAACTACCAGCCAAACGTTGTCGACTCGGCCGTGACTGCCGATATCCAAGAAGCTGAGGCCGCCGCCATGGCTGCTGCGCAGCAAGTTCAGCAGCCACAGGCGCCCGTCTTCAACATGGCCACGATGGGACAGGCCGTCAATGACATCCAGGCCCATGTAGCTTCGTATACTTCAATTTTGCAACATCCCTTTCTAGGTGAGCGGCCGCGCCTTTGCCCCGCTGAACATGCCGCCGTGCTCGGAGTACCAATTCGATCAGCTGCAGGATATGGCCAGCTGCAACTGAAATTCGTCAAGCTACCACCTTGCCCATTTCCTTATCGTTCACTTGTCTTTGTAAAAAACTACGCGGTTTTGTTAATTGAGCGCCTGTGGTCGAATAAATGTTCTTTGGAGTCGCAGCCAACAAACAAGAGACAGCACCACAAACACACGTGCAAAACACATCAAATCTTCACATCTTTTCATCCACATCTCCAATGACTAGAGGTACGTGGCGAATGCGCTCAGTTTGGATACCATACGACGTCAGCAGTAAATCATATTTATCGAAATCGAGAAAAACAACAATCAACAAAAAAATGCACAAATCGCAAAATTAGGCTTTTCCGGATTGTCCAGGTCGTTGCGGGCCTCCGCGAGGGGCACCGAAGCGAGGCGGCGGGTTGCGATCACGGCGAGCTTCTCGCGATCGGTTGCCGACGACCTTGGCGTGGATGGCGCACCCGACGCAGTAGTGCATCTTGTTGTACAACTTCGGTAGCGTGGTTTCTGAAAAAAAACGGAAATAAATATGGGTCGGAGAGACCAAACTAAACCGCAATAATACCAATGACAAAAAACTGACGTTCGCAGACGGACGCGTCGGCAAGATCGTGGACGGCCGCCGCTTCGACGATGCTGCGAATGACGGCCTTGTGAATGGCCTTGTCCTTCGGGCAGCAGCGGCCGCAGTTTGTGCGGACGAAGCGGACGTGGCCGCGTCCTTTCTTGTTGCGTTCATGGTTTCTTCGTTTCACCGTCATCGTGGACCTGGAAAAATAGTTTAGTCAAAGTAGAAAAAACCGCAAAATAGCAGAGAGCATAAAGCGAATGCTTTGGAAAATGTGGAAACGAGGAAATTTTGTTCGCAGGCCGTTGGCAACCTCTAACGTATAAGAGGGGACCATGACAGATGAGCAACGACATTTGAGTAACTGGGGCGAAAACGATGTTTGAGCAACCCCGTTTTCCCGCGTTTACTAAGAATAATTGTTGCTCAAACCTCGCTTTCCCCTAGTTGCTCAAACGTCGTCGCGTAACTGTCGTGGGCCAGATACGAGTACCAAAAGACAACTTTTTTGTGGAGACGCGGCGGGACCGGTTTTCGAGCTCGAGAAATCGATTTTCGGGTCTTTTCGGAGTTTTTCGGCTTTTCGGTTCTATTCTTGCGCTATGCGCTAAAATCGATGACTTTTTAGCGTCGACGTGGTGGATACGCAAGGCGTCTGCAAGGCCGCCTCGTCGAGTGGGCTTCGCTGATGGCACTTTAGCTCACCTATTTCCAGCTGACCGTCTCTTCCGGCCGCCGCCCGACGCGAAGCTGTGCACGGAGAGCGTACCTGGTACGAGTTTGCCAACAAAATATTTTTTGTCTAAGTCTAGAATGCCTAGTATATTTTAACAGTATTTTTAATAAATAACACTATTTTGAAACCAACCAAAAAGTCGAAATTTTGGCCAAAAACGGCCACGTTTGGTCGATAAATCTCTATTTTTTGGTTCTGAAGTTGCCAAGGATTTCCATGACTTTTTTGTTATACAACAACGACTATCGAAAATCCCGAATTTCCCAATCCTCACGAAAATCCATATTAAAATTTATGACGGGTTGGTGAAGTAGTCTTACAAAAATCATGCTTCTAGCTGCGTCTCCCCACAGGGCGGCCGACCGATCGCCGAGCAGTGCAGAGATGATGGTCAACGACACGAGCGGCATCGACGAGAGCTTCTGCATGGACCGATCGGTGGTCTCGGTAAGGCCGCGCTGTCGCTACATAACAAAACAGTAAACTTTAATAAAACTAAGGTAGCACCCAGCCGGCCCCAAATTTTCGGATCTCGGCTCCCTGTTGGTCTACAGTGGTGTAAGGTACACCAGAATATTCGTCTTACTCTGCCGAGTATTTTCGTATACTTTGCGGCCCTGTAGTGTAATTGGGAGCCAAGATACAATCGATGGTCGGCAGGGGGTGTCTGTAGTTTTGCTTCAAATAAAAAATGCGATAATAATCATCAAACCTTCACCAGGTGCTCAGCGACTCGGCGACCGGCTCCTCCTTCACCTCTTCGGTACCATTCTTCCAAACGTCCCGCAACATTTGGTCTCATTTCAGTACTGTACGACGTGCCAGACGACCTCGTGCATCCAGTACCACTGAACGCCCCGACCACTTATAACCCGCCGAACTATTCATTAAAAACATAATTAGAAACCCGTTAACATTATGTGCAGCGTCGCTTGTCACGAAATAAACTCGCTGCAGTCCAGCTGCAGCCTGCCTGCCTGCCTGTGCAATCACCACCACCCGGGGGCTCGACACTGAACATTTATCGGACGGGGTGCAGAAGTAAAAAGTAAAGTCGCAAAAATCAACAGCAACAACGGACAACAAGTGAGAACAGCATCCAAAATACATGCGCGTTTAGGGTTAAAAATCAGGGTAGCTAGGGCCAGCGCGGGACGGGCAGGTCGAAGCCGGAACGACGAGGGCCTCCACGGCGCGGCGCCGGCTGAAATGGAATTTATAGAAATCATAGAAGTTCGCAAAAAGTGTATTAATGCACATCGGGTGCTTTCGCATTATCGGGTTGGAGGGCGTTAGTCGCTGTCTATTATTGGCTCAAAATGCCTAGCAACGTGATATTGCGTACTCTTATTGCCTTTTTTTTGGTAAATTTCACTATATTTCAAGCGCGAAAACGTCAAAATCCCGCTCAAATCCATCAAAATCGAGAAAATCGACAAAATTTGGTATCTCTTCCAAATTGTCCCATCGAAAAAGTCGCTCCCCCGATAATGCGCAAGCGCCAAATTCCCGGAATTTCAAATTACCGTAGGGTGTGGGGTGCCGGGGAAGAATCCATACATTTGAGGCGGGAATCCCGGATTCGCCATGCCGGGGTAGGCTCGATCACGCGGGTATCTGAATCAAGAAAAATAAATTATAAGAAGACGAAACTAGTTACCCCATCGAAGCGTATGCCGCCTGTTCATAAGCAGGATGGGGGACGGGGCCTCGCTGCATCCCGTATGGCATCGGCAATGGAACGGGCGCTGGAAAAGGCGTGTTACCAGCGAATCACAAAAACAATTATCAGGCCCCATTTCAAAAGCGTCACAATTTTTTGAATAGTTTTTCAAAACTTCTAATATGCTTGCTATATCATTAATCGGCATATGAGGGCTTAGAGGAAAAACGTTTCTCCGCGATTTCGTGAAAAAAACCCTTCCAAAGGACCTATATCCTTCCCCACAGAAAAAAAACGCACTGCCGTCAGGATTGTAGACTCGATGGTCCTCGTCCAGATCCCGAATGCGCACGTTGTTTTCCCGGAAAAACTCGGCACGGATGCTGCACGAATTGTTGAAGATATCTTCGCCGTTCAGCGCGTACTTGGCCGTTTTCGCTTCATCAATAGACGTGAACTCGATCAGCGCCTAAAAACATCTACCTCGGACACTAGCGATAAATACCTGAACGTATAGGTTGCGGCGCAGGACGACTATCTTCGTAATGTTCCCAAACTCGCAGGCAATCTTGTGGAACGTCTCGGCGCGCAGATAGTACCCATTCAAATTCTTTCACCGTCACCGACAGCACCGGCGACGGGACCGCAGACTCCAGGGCCTTGCGCTCAATCGTTTTGATCTTCCTACAAAAAATTACAAGTATGACAGCGCGAAACTCACGAATAAACGACCATCAAGGGCTTGTCGTGGATAGAAATCACTCTCCCCGTGATACCGCCTCTAACGTGTCCAAGGCGCCTTCCAAACCCTAAAAACTTGTTTCGAAAAATCAAGGGTCTAACGTGAAACTCGACGAACGCGTGGTGTCTGTTCAGATGGCTGGTTTCCACGTAGTCGACCATCCCGAATTTCGAAAATCGGTCGACCAGGTCGCCTTCGGTGATCTAAACACAGTGGTGGACGAGTAGTAAATACCTTGTCGGGCAGGCCAGCTACGAAGACGACTTGGGTCGGCGGATTCGACGAGACTCCCGGGGCGTTGTGGTTAGCATCGACGGCGGGCCTCGGATTCGCATCGGGAATGGCTGCCGGCGGCTCGTCGCTTGGTTCGGGCTTGAGCACCTCGGGATAGTCGCTGCGCAGCGGTTCAATCGCCGCGATCTCCTCTGAAACAAAATCTATATCAATACTGTCTCTATATTATGAGTCGTTTTAAGCGCGCCTTCTGTGCTGAAAACCCGTTTAATTGGTAAAAAAACAATTTTAGCATAAAATTCCGTAATTTTAGTCGATCAAAACTGGGTTTTATATTAGTGGGACCACGGCATAATCGCTAAATCCCAGGAAGCCACTTGCAGCCACAGCGCGCAACCGCGAAAAAAGCAGACAAGGCATCGCTTGTTGTGCTCTGCCATTTACCTTGTTCTAACTTGATCGTCTTCAGCGGCGGTTCATCGCTTACATTCGTGCCGGCCTCGCTGATTGGGGCGAGCCGTTTTTGAGAGCTGCTGCTCGTCGCCTGAATCAAAAATTTGGGACAGACGCTTAGATAGATACCTCAGCTGTACCGCCCGGGTTGGTGGGGTCTTGCGAGAGCGTAGACGTGCCTGGACCTGCCGTTGCCTGGAAAGTACTCCATAAAAGCAAAAAAAAAGTTTCCTTACGGTCTCCGTTGCGGCGTGTGGGCTCTGTTGATCCGGAGCAGCGGCATCTGCGTCCGCTTCGGCGTCGGTCCCGTCCATATTGCGGCCCACTGCAAGAAAATGGATTGTTTGGAAGAGATAAAAAGCTTTGCCACGAAGGAAAAACTATTAATACTTTGGAGAAAATGTCAAAGTTTTTGCCGATAAATTTTTCCGTCGATAGCGGCCGGCCGGCCGGTCGTTCGTTGCGTACTCGGTTTGGAAAGGGCGGACCGTTGCGCGGGGTAAAAGGGCAGGCCCGCGCAATTAGTGGCAGGCGGGCCGCGCATTGGCCGAGAGCCGCCCTCAGGCCCGCGCAATCCCGAGAGCCGCGCAACGGTCCGCCCTTTCCAAACCGAGTAGCCCTTCACCGCGGATTTTCGGGATGATGTGTACGCGTCAGTCCTAATAGCAACATAAGAATACATTTATTAAGCCAACACACATAGTAAATACACCGTACAGTACATACCACAGTAAATTAAAATGTACAGCCGTGTACATGTCACATTTCGACGTGATCATGCGGGAAATGTGTGATTGGCGGGTCGGTTTTCTCAAGTAGCGGGGTGGCGGAGGGAGAAGTCGTTGCGTCGTTCAGGCCGTAGTTCAGGTCGTTCAGGTCGTTCAGTCGGCTATTCCAGGGGCAGGTCGTAGTGATTAGCCCAGCACACTGGACACGAACGCCCTAAATTCGAGTTTTTTTTTCGAAGACCCATTGTGCCTACCCGCTGCGGAGAAGAGGGTGAGCGGGTCAACATTGCTGCAAATTGAAATATATAAACATTCGAGCGCCCTTTTGTTCATAATGTACGGAAAACACCGACCCCTTCTTCTGCAGCTTGCGCAACACCACACAGTGCATCGAGTGGTCCCGCTTTTCGGTGACGAAGCGCTTGGCGCGCCTGAGATTGAAGCAATTCACTATGTACCGATCGAATGGTCCTACTGCGCGCGGGACGAACACGTGCTGCACAGGAACGTGTCCATGCGTGGCCTCACGTCGTCGCCCCCGGCGGGGCAGGCCGTGCACTGCAGAAATATATTTATCATCGCCCAATGTTGATTTACCTCATTGTCGAGGAGCAAGTCCCTAGTCCGATTGTCGTGCCAAAGGGGAACCAGCCTTGCCCACGCCTGGAATTGTCAAATTGTCAATGCAGTTCGCGGCCGGTATGATTTCGGATATAAAATATGGGTTAGAACTAAATTGAATGAAAAGTTGCGAGCTTTTTGGAAAGCTAGCATTTCTATCTAAAATGACAAAATTTTGAAAGTTTCAAAGTTTCTATGCTTGTGACCTCAACCAACCCTAAAACTTCACAAAAAGGCGTTGTGCTAATTGCTAGGCGAAATAAGCCATGCCAAAAATCAGGTAAACACCTAGGATAATACTCCACAGCACTACCTCGGCCGCAGCCCAGGAGCCGGACTTCAGCTGGGTGCCCTTCAACTTCTCCGGGTCCTTGTGCTCCTTGTTCGATCCTTGGGCCTTCGTCGCCGGCTTCTTTGACTCTTTCTGGCTCTTCGGTTTCAGCTTCTTGTCGTCGTTGGTCCCCGCCTTCGGATCAATCTTCTTCTTCTCTTTCGCCTTGGGCTGGTCGATCACCTTCTGCTTCGGCATCCTTGCGCTAAAATAATAAGAATGATAATAATGGAGAATCGTTCCACAACTTACGTTTACCGGTGAGAATAATTTGATGTAGAAATTGTGAAGCCGATATTACGTTTTATATGTGACCTGACATGCTAATTGACGATACTTCCGGCATGATGCAATCACCTGTATGGAAACACGATCGTGCGATTTTGTGTGGCAGACACAGAATTGAATTATAGAAGCCGATTTTCAGTGTTGAGTTCCAATGGGATACCACAGGTCCGCGAAGCGCCTGACGCCAGCGAAGCTGCCATCGAAGTTGATTGTCTCGTCATTCATAGTCTGTGACATTTTATTCCGGAATTCCACAAAAGGGAAGATCACAACTTACCCGATGATACTACAAAATGGGGGAATATACACCTTAGAATGGTTAAGGGAAAGGGTGGCGTTATTTCTCGGTGGCCTCGGGGTTCATTTGCTCCATCAGCTCGTCAATCTTGGCCTCAATCGTAGGGACGATGTCCTTGTCGACGATCAGGTGTGTCTCGTCGAGCTCCTGAAAAAAAAATATAATGAACGGCCCAAATTAGAGCATATGAAGCCTGTCGTTCACTAGCCAAACAGCGAGAAAAAGCAACAAGACCTACGCCCGCTAAAATCTGTACAAATCACCTTTACAATGAATTGGCTGCCGAGCGCTCGCGTCTCATCGAGATGGACGAGCAGCTTTTGCATCGCCGGGTCGCACGTGATCATCACGCCTTTTTTTACGTTTACCATTCTAAAGCAAAGGCCTATAAAAATAATGATAATTCTATTAAATGGATAATCTTGTCGGTCAAGCACCTTTCGCATTATTATAGAAAACACAGAGCAATCCTTTATCATAACTCACTTCATCAGCGTCATTAAAAAATGGGCGGGTGCAGAACATATCACAACTTTGGGAACGAATCACACAAAAATGGCATGCATTGATACAGTTATATCACAGCTAGCGAAAAGATACAATTTTGACGATTTTTGACGGCTAGTCTTTCTTCTGAAGCGTTTTCCGGACCTCGCTTTGGATCCTCGCATACATAGCCATCTTTGTCTAAAACGATAAGGCGGTGCTGAGAAAGAGAAAGCCTACAGCTTTCTCCAAGTCCCGTCCAACTGAAGTCGGCTGACCATCTTCAAAGTAGAGGCCACTTTTGACGTCTTCGCGAAAAGCCGTATGCAGGGAAAGAATGGCCGCATCCTCAGCGCTCCTGAAAGAGTGAAACGCGACATTTTAGAGTCGAAGTGCAATACCTCGCGATCAACGGCAGCATATACCCAATGGCGAGACGGGTTAACGGATTCGTCTTTCGATACAAGGCGCTCGGCACGACGCCCGGGTGGACGACGCAGAGGGTAGCGCCCGGATGGGTGATGTGCATCGACCTGAGAAGGAAGATTAGGTTACCGCAAAATATGGCAAAACCTTACTGCGCATGCATCTCGCCGTAGACGGCAAGCAGCAACTTCGAGAACGCGTAGGCTTGATACGGACCATGAGCGTCGTAGAGGAAGGAGGAATCTAGAGTTTTTTTTCTCAAATATTCATAGCAAAACAAAAATACCAGTCTTGATTCGATTCGTCGCCAGGCAGGCATGGCTACAACATGAGCCCATAAGCAACACTCGATGGTCCCGGGCGAGCACTGGGCGCAGTATCTGAAATTTACGCCTAGTGAAAGCCTAGAAAAATAAGCCCACCTCGATTAGCGCAGCATGGGCAACGACGTTCACGTTCATCCCATCAACTGCGGCGTGATCGGTCCACTAAAGAAGAGACATAAGGGATGGAGATGAAGGCTACCGAATCCCTCGGATGCAGCACGCCTGCGTTGCCAATGAAAAGATCGATCTGCCGATGCTTTTCCTTGAATGTCTGAGCAAAGTTGGCCACCTGAAAAGCGTAAAGTAAAGAGTTTCCAAGAGGAGTTTCTTGCAGTAATAGTGGAGATCAATGTAAAAAACAAAGCGCTAGGCTCCTTCCCATTTCCGGGTCACATAAAAACGCACCGCCTTTAAATCGCGCAAGTCACACTCGTGCAGGGCCAGCTTTGTGTCGCTCGAATGTGGCACTTGGTCGACGATCAGCGCTGTTGTTGCTTTCAATCGATCCGACGTGACGATGCGGATCGTCCACCCGCGTGCCAAGAGTATTTTGACCAACTGGAATCGGACTTTCATAGGTTAGGCCCGAAAAAACCTCGCGTCCAATCGTCCCGTCACCGCCCGTCAAAAGCGCCACCTTGCTCGCGCGGTTGTTGAAGTAGGATTGGTTGAACTAAACATTCGCTGCTTACTGAATGAATAATCAACTCACTTCTGACCATATACGACACCATCGTCCGTAATGCCGGGCCCAGAAGTAGAACTCCTTGACGAGGTAGAGGGCGGCGAGGAAGTGGACCGGAAAACAAACAATTAGGCTTTCAGCGAAACGCACACACCTGCAACACCACAAAGAATTCGACAAGAAAAGCCGGGTAATCCCCATCTGGGTAGACTCTTGCAAAAAGTGAGGTGAGGAACATGCCTAAAGTTAGGGTTTTTGCGCAGCTACGGAGCGAAGGCGTTTTGCAAAAGGCAAAGTGGCGGCAAGCGCGAATGGCCGGGCCGGGAAAGATTTTTGGTCTTTTGAAGAAAAGTGGGGAAAACAAAAAAAATCAAGCATTTCCAGCAAAAGAAGCAAAAAGAACGTTTCCCGTCGGCCAAAATGCTGTCCGTCTACGGTTCGATGTATTTTCGGTGTAAAAACTGTATCCGGTAAATTCCTGCATAGCCATCAATCATTTATTAAAGGGTGCAAATGATCAGTTCGGGGAAAGTCAAAGATACATTGCCGATAAACCGTAGTGAATGCTGGTTCGAAATATTGGGCGTATGGGGGGAGTCGTTCCCATTCTCGAGTGGGGTCCGGGATATGCGAGAAGACATAAGATACTTGGCGACGGGGCTCCGGCTATCCGGCGTAAAAACTAGTATATACAATTAGTTATAGGAATTCGCAAGTGTGGAAATATGCTCATCAGGTTGCAGAAAACAGAGAGGCAGGACGGGGTGGAAATACTGGGCATGGGCGAGGGCGGGGGCATCAAAACGAGAAGGCCGAGACAAGAAAGCAGTTTTGGAAAATATGTAGTCGAGTGAATTAAGCAAAAGTAAAGTATGTTTAATGTTGATTTCCAGAAAGTGATTTTTACTTTAGTATTTTTGACAGGATTGAACACTATTGCCGGTGCACACGACGAGAGGAAATGTTGGAATGCCGAGCGGGGACAGGGTCAGTGGTGGAGCGAGTAGTCTTATGTCTTCTGCGGTGAGCGGATCGAGGAATTGCTGCTGTGACGCGAGATCGGGCTCATCTTGTCCTGAAATGTGGGGATAAAATGGCTTAGATTTTGCTCACTAATCGTGGGCAGTTTGGTGTTTTGGAGAATCTATGTCGAAAATCGGCCAGATTTCGTCGAAAAATCGGG